CTCTGTGGCAGGTGCTGCACTAGGTCTCCTAGGCCCTGCTACTACAGAGATTACGACAGCTTGGCTGGAATTGGGTGGGTTGCTGGTAGCCGAAGTGTGTCCTCTGCTAGCATCTCACACTGGAGTACAAAGGCTTGTCTCTTGGCTTTGCTGGAGAAGCGAGAGAAGACAGTCTATGTAGGAAGACATCTGTGTTCTGGGTGGATCCTCTCTCCTCTCTCTGAGACTGGGTGTCCGTTTGCCGCGTGGGCGGCATCTCTGGATGGCAGGTAAATAAACCCAGTGGCAGGAAGGCGCCCCAGGAAGCTTGAACAAGCTCTGTGGCTTTGCTCGGGAGCGCCCACTTCCTTTGTCAGATTGGCCTGGTGGACTTCTTCATATTAGGCCCATCTTCTTAAAGGCAGGAACCACGAGAGAAACAGAAGTACTCAGTCTCAAGCAGCTAGGTTATCTCTCTATAGTTAACCCCCCCTACTTCCCGAGATGTGTACTCTCTAGAGCCACTTAATCTGCAATTTTTGGTGACAAACACTCGAGCTCCTAGGCCAGACCTCTCTGATTTTGGCTTGCTCGGGTTCAGGGAGAAGGAAGGCAGCAGATGCTTCACTAGTGGCTGGACCCCATGCCAGCACTCCCCCTGTGCTGCTGTGGGAGCCCTGGGTCTCTTTTCCTGTCTGCCCTTCCCAGCTCCCTGGCTGCTGACTCTTCGCCATCTGACCATCTGTCTTACTCTGCCCCCCACAGCCACCATGCATTTCCGCCTTGCTGACACAGCGCCTTTGGGTGCCCATCTGGCTCCGACCTGGGGATAGATGGAGCCCTGACTTCCACTGCTCCTCTGACCTCTGCTCTCCGGATGCCCGATGCAGGCTCTGCTTACTGCGGCTTGGGACCTGGTGGGATGATCGTAATGAGGTTTAAGTGGCCAGAAGGCCACCCAGCTGTTTTAAGGAGTGTGGCCCCACCAAGCAGCACTATTGGGTGGGTGAAAGCTTTTTTCCTAACCTTAACACGTACCCTATTATACTAAAATATCCGCTTAAGTGTTTTCTCCTCTAGATGGAGAGTTCCTTGAAGGCAAGAACTGGTTTTATCTTTATATCCAGAGTGCCTAGAATATAGGAGTTATTAGTAAATGTTGGTTGAACCGAAGTGAGGGAGGGAAGAGAAAAGTGCACCGAGGATGCTGTTTTGATATCAGCCTGTTGGGCCGACCCTGGAAGAAAGGAGGACAGAGGGGGCATTGGTGGTTGTCAGTGCATCCTTTCCATGGCAGGGGGGTGGGGAGGAGGGGGTGGCCCCTGGGCCGGGCAGGACCCTGCTCTTACTTGGCTTTGCCACCAAGCTCCCTGAGTCTTGCTGGGTGCTTCACCAGCCCCCACCCAGCCCCTGCCTGGCGTCTGTCCTTCCAGCTGCAAGAGCTTATTTTGCGCTGACAAGAAATGCAAGTGGAACTAGGAGAGGAGTAAATATTGGAGGAAGGGGGAGAGGTGCAGACCCTGTGCTCCTGGTACTCAGTGCAAGAGAGACCTCCGACCGAAGGAAAGAGACAGTGGCCTTGTCATTGCTCTTCTTTCTTTCTTTTCCTTTTTAAAAATTATAAAATAATTCATGTTCATGGAGAAAAAGACAACAGTTATAAAAGTCTTCTGCCTGCTCCCAGTTCCATACCATAACACCAACCACTGTTAACAACTCTTTGAGAAGCCTCCTGGAAATGTTCTATTATACAAAACTATATATTATACAAAAGCTTAGGCTTGTAGCCTCAGCGTGTCTTCCGCTAGCATCTCACACTTGGGTACAAAGGCTTGTCTCTTGTATATATACATAAAATCTCCAGCGTGCCTAGAATGTAGATATAAAATACATATATATGTGTATATATATATATATATCTCATATATACAAAACATGAGTGTGAATACATACATGCAGATGGACAGACAGACAGATAGGCACCAGTACTTCAGTGAGGGATGGAGTTGGAGGCTTACCTGAAGAGGTTGTCGATGCACCAGGCTGGGGCTCTTGAAGGGAAGAAATGAGGGACTGCAAGGGTGTACGTGGCGGGGGCAGAGGTGTCTTCAAATAGTAAAATATTTGTATTGCAATTTTTCTCTTTTTTTGCATTGCAATTTTTTTTTTTTTTTGCAGTTTTGGAGTTGAAAAAAAATCCGACATCTGGTTGGCTTCAGTTTCCTTACCTGAAAAATGGGATAATAATGTACCTTCCTCACAGGTTTATTGTGAGGATAAAATAGGGGGGATATGTTTAAAGTGCTTAGTTTTGTGCCTGGCTGCACACACTAAGCTTCACCTCGGTGTGCTATTATTATTGGTGGTGGTGATGTTACGTGGAGGTGGTGTTATGGTGGTTGTGGTTCCTGCTGTAGTCTCAGCATCCAGCACCACGCCCGGAGCATTGTTGACCCTCTGTCCATCTGCAGCCAGCATACAGAAAGAACTTGGTGATGACATACCTCTTTTCATTTCGGAATTCCTTGCCCTTGTTCCCTCCTTTTTTTTTTTTTTTTTTATCTTGACTGCCTCTAACTTCTTGTTTATGTTGTGTGCCCTTGAAGCAAACTTTCTGAGACCTGGTGAATAAAAATCCTCGGAGGCATGTAGAGATGTTTTCAGTAGCAAAAGTTCACATCCTCTCTCTTGCCTGGCCCCAGAGAACATCTATTCACTTGCTACACTTTACACCTACTACCCGAAAAAGCCAATTAGAATTGCTTACTTAAGAAAATACCTAAGAATCCGTAGGGCTGCCCCTGTTCATTGTGTGCATTGTGTGACCCTGAAGCTACACTTGAGACGTCTCCGCCTAGTGAATGTGTCCTTCTGGGATGCTCTGCAGCGTTTCTACTTGTATTTAGAAAAGCTGGCTTAAAACTCTTAGGTTTAATATTCTGTATCCCAAATGCTCTTAGTTGTCAGTAAAACTAAGCCTGCCTACACACTCTTCTATTCTTGATTTATAAATAGGTTCAGCTGCCTAACAATTAAACGTACTATATTTTGCACACGCATATTCCTTAAGGAGACATTTGGAGGGTAGTTGGCTTTTACTCTTGCAATGCTATCTGGAAACCATCTTCCTTTTATCCCCAAGTGGGTGTATAGTTCACTGTTGAACAACGTGGGGGTTAGGGGCCCTGACCCCTGTGCAGTCAAAAATCTGCCTATAACTTTTGACTCCCCCAAACTTTACTAATAGACTGTTGTCTAGAAGTAACATAAACAGACCATGAACACATATTTTGTATGCTATATGTATTATATGCTGTATTCTCACAATAAAGGAAGCTAGAGAAAAGAAAATGTTAATTAGATCTTAAGGAAGAGAAAATACATTTACACTACTGTATTTCTCAAAAGACAAAACAAAACAAAACAACCCTGCATATAGATAGACCCGCACAGTTCAAACCAATGTCGTTCAAGGGCCAACTGTCTTTTGAAGGGTTGGCAATGAGACTTTGGGTCCGTAAAGCCCAAGACACCATCTCCGACATGCATGGAAAATCTAGTATCACATTTCTAGGAGATCTTCGTAGGGACAGGCCCAGGACCAGCTCCTACTTGTCAGAGGAGGTCTGCACTGCAGGCTTAGTATCATACATGGCCACACGTGCTTGTGGCTGAGAGAAATCCCGGTGCAAAGACACTAGGACACTAGAGAAAAGAGATGAGTAGGGTCATAGAAGGAGATGAAAATGTAGTCCCACGTAGAATTAGTTACTCCATAAGGTGGAAGAAAGGAGCAGGTTTTGCGTGTACCAAGGCCCATGAGAGGTCTGCCTGCCAACCCCAAGGGGAAACCGGCTCTAGGTTAACCCACCAGAATTTCCTTTCTGGGCAGAACTGGGACTTGAATAATAATACTGAGCATTATATGGCACTTTCAGATATGGAGTTTTGTTTTTCCATACAAGGCAATAAGGTCGGTGGATTGAAGATCACCCCTCTTTTACAGAGAAAATGAAGCAGAGAGAATGAAGATACTTGTCACTTATTTTGGGCACTCAGGCTGGGTCTCTGAAGAGAGACCTCACTCTGCTCTCTTGTATCCAGGGTTGCTTTACCTGACACCAGGGCGTAGGGGAATGAGCTCTCACATTACAGCCCTCAAGATACCCCGTTCTAGTCTAGACCCTGAAGCTTACTGGGTAGGACCTGGCCTCATCACCTAAGCTTCCAGCTTGTTTTCTTTCTTTCTTTCTTTCTTTTTTCTTCAGATTTTATTTATTTATTTGACAGCCAGAGACGCAGCGAGAGAGGGAACACAAGCAGGGGGAGTGGGAGAGGGAGAAGCAGGCTTCCAAGGAGCAGGGAGCCCGATGAGGGGCTCGATCCCAGGACCCTGAGATCATGACCTGAGCCCAAGGCAGATGCTTAACGACTGAGCCCCCAGGAGCCCCCCAGCCTGTTTTCTTGTGGCAAAAGTGAGGGCTGAGTCTGGAAGGTCTCTAGAGCATAGCCCAGAGGCTCGCTGGCAGTAGGGTATGGCCCATTTGGAGGCCCAAGGACTGGAAGTGCATATTGAGTATCGTGCCGACTGCCCTAGATGGCAGTGAAGGTTGGCAGCACAGAATGAGAGAAAAGGAAGCACTCGCGGGTGATACATTGGCCCCACAGGCCGAAATGCCATATGTCTGCATACTCTGCAGGTAGTGATGTGTTGGAATTCAGGCAGCAATTTGGTAAATTTCCATGTTCAATTAAAAACAAAGAAAAAAAAAGAGCCTAGGTCTGTCCCTTTTGCGTAGCCAGGGGCTGAGTCCCAGGCTGAGGAATCCGGTCGGACCAGTGGGGGGCTCCACCGATCGCAGGCTCCGCTTGCCCCGGGGCAAAGGCTCTCGGAAGGGTGGGTCACGGTGGGCGCTGAAGTACTGTCGAAGCCCTGTCGCCCGGGTCCACCACATCCGTCCTCCCGCCGGCCGCCTCCGCCCCGCCCCCCACCTCCATTCCCGATCTCTCCCTCCCGCGAAGCTTAACTGATCTGCAGGCGGGGGCGCGGATGATGCGAATTCCTGGAAGCCTTAGGCGGCTGCCCAAGATTTGAGGTTAGGATCCTCCAAGGACCCTCGAGGTTCGTGCTCACACCGCGCCTCGGGGTCACAGAAGGGCCTAGGGGGGCGTGGGCAGGGGGAACCCCCACTCACCATCCCCGTGCACCCTGGAGCCCGTTTCCATCCCAGGCCTGCCGGTCTGGGCTGAGCCGGAGGGGACCGGGGTACGGGACTGGGGCTGGCTGGGAGGTGGGGGAGCGGCTGGAGGTGGCGGGGGCAGGTAGCGGCAGGCCGGGAGAGGAGGGGGCTGGGCCGCGGCCGAGGCACAGTCGGGCCGCTTCGCCACCTCTGGGGCAGCCGCTCGACCTCCGCGGGCTCCGCCGGGAGTGGAGACGGTGAGTCAGATCTCGGGCACCCGCGGGTCGGGCGGGGGGGGGCAGGTGGTGGTGGTGGCGAGTCAGGAAATGACATCAGAGGCCTGTGCCTGGGGAGGGGAGGTCTGGGCCCGCCCCGGGCGGCTGGGGCGGGGGGGGGGGGCCGCGGGGGGGGGGGGGGGACCTTGACTGAGCCTCGGGCCCCGGGTCCCGAGGAGGGCCCCTTCCTGGGGGAGTTTCCTGCCGGGTCCGCCCTCCCCGCCTCTTCCCGCCCCCTCTCCGGGCAGCTCCTTGTATGGTCTGAGCGCCGCTCTCTCCCCGCCCCCTCCTTCCCTCCCTTTTCCCTGCGTCCCTCCCCGCCAGGCTGGAGGCTGCTCGGGACCCGGACGCAGAGTCCTCCGACCCGGCTGCGAGGCGGACAGCAGAGACGCGGCGCGCACGCTCCGGCCCGCGGTGAGGCGCGGGGAGCCGCCCGGCGGCCGCGCACGGAGAGGGGCGGGGGCGCGGGCGCCGCGGGGAGCCGGGCCGGCTGGGGGTCCTCTGCCGGGGCCCGGCGCCGCGTAATCTGGCCGCCCACCCCCAGCAGCCCGGCCTGGCCATGGCGGCCCCCCGCCCGCCTCCCGCGATCTCCGTCTCGGTCTCGGCTCCGGCTTTTTACGCCCCGCAGAAGAAGTTCGGCCCGGTGGTGGCCCCAAAGCCCAAAGTGAATCCTTTCCGGTCCGGGGACAGCGAGGCTCCCCCGGCCGCCGGGGCCCAGCGCGCGCAGATGGGCCGGGTGGGCGAGATCCCCCCGCCGCCCCCGGAAGGTATGCGGCTGGGCTTGGGGGCTGGACCCCGGCGGGTATGCGCCGGGCCGGGCACAGTGGTTTCGGGAGTTTGGGGGTGTCTGGAAAGGTTGCACGAAGGGGGCTGGGCGCAGCTAGCCTGTCCCGAGCAGATGTTCTTACCTCATCGTGGAGCTCATGGCTGGGAGCCAGGGCTCCTGGGACCGTTCCAAGTCCCCCGCCTGGGGGTGGGAGGCGGGAATGTGGGGCACGAATCTTCCCCTCCGGGTCCGTTTTCCCAAGTGTAACGGGAGCTGCATCACTCCACGGTCGAGTCCCCCTCCTTCACTGACCCAGTGCTCCCAGGGCGTCCTGCCTCTCTCCCTTTCCTTCCCACGCGCTCCGCGGACCCCGGGAGAATTCCTGGGTTAGGGGTGAGAGCTGTAGAAGGAGAGTAACTTGGGGAAGGGGTGGAGGGGTCTCCTGCTGACTGCCCTCTCTTCTGACTGTCCTCTCTCGCCCTCCTACCTCAGACTTCCCCCTACCACCCCCTCCTGTCCTTGGGGATGGCGACGACTCGGAGGGTGCTCTAGGAGGTGCCTTCCCACCTCCCCCTCCCCCTGTGGAGGAACCGTTTCCCTCTGAGTCTCTGGAGGAGGAGATCTTCCCTTCCCCTCCGCCTCCACTGGAGGAAGAGGGAGGGCCTGAGGCCGCCATACCTCCCCCACCGCAGGTAGGGGGGCTTGGGAGGGGCGGCTACAGTGGGACACCCCCCAGGGAGGAGAGGAGAGTCCTTACCTCTGGCCTCCCCTGCACCTCTGGCCTGATGGGGGTGAGGTGGGAATGGAGACCTGGGATCCGTGCTCTGACCCCTGACCCTCTAGCCCAGGGAGAAGGTGAGCAGTATTGATTTGGAGATCGACTCTCTGTCCTCGCTGCTGGATGACATGACCAGGAATGATCCCTTCAAAGCCCGGGTAAGGGACAGGAGGGTAGGAAAGGCAGGGCAGGGAGGAAAGGTGGGCCCACCCCTCTAACTGAGCTTCTCTTCCCTCCCGCTCCCCTTCCTTGCAGGTGTCATCTGGATATGTACCCCCACCAGTCGCCACTCCATTCATCCCCAAGTCCAATACTAAGCCTGCAGCTGGGGGCACAGCACCCCTGCCTCCTTGGAAGTCGCCTTCTAGCTCCCAGCCTCTGCCCCAGGCCCAGGCTCAGGCTAAGCCTCCCAGCCAGACCCAGTTCCATGTGCAGCCCCAGGCCAAGCCTCAGGTCCAGCTCCATGTGCAGCCCCAGCCCCAGCCCCAGGCTCATCCCCAGCCTGTGCCTTTGGCTAACACCCAGCCTCGAGGACCCCCAGCCCCATCTCCTGCCCCTAAGTTTTCTCCAGTCACTCCCAAGTTTACTCCCGTGGCTTCCAAGTTCAGCCCTGGAGCTCCAGGTGGACCTGGGTCACAGCCCAATCAGAAGCTGGGGTCCCCTGAAGCTCCCTCTTCCAGTAGTACAGGCTCCCCTCAGCCTCCCAGCTTCACCTATGCTCAGCAGAAGGAGAAGCCCCGAGTGCAGGAGAAACAGCATCCAGTGCCCCCACCGGCTCAAAACCAAAATCAGGTGAGGAAGGGGGGGAGGACCAGCCTGAGACCAGGGGGCTGGGGATGGGGCTAAGTCAGGAGCCGGAGAATGAGGGCAAAAGCGGCCCCAGAGAGGGAGGTGGACGTGGGGGGCTGTGGGATAGGGGTTTTGAGCCTCTGAAGTTGACCTGGTGGGTCAGTGGTCAGAGGAGGAGGAGGGTCTGGCTGGGTCTGGGTCTGGGTGGGGCCTTACCGGGAGTCGGGGAGCAGCACAAGCTCTGAATCAAGAGGGGGATTTGGTGGACCTTCCCTTGCACCCTGCCCCCTTAGAATGTTAAAGGGAGGGATGAGATCAGCAGCAGCCCAACCTTGCTTCTTTCCCCTTCTTGGATTCTTGAGTTACTGTCTCTGCTCCTCTGAGCCACTCTCACTGCCCCGGGGCCCATCTGATGATAAGAGTTACAGCGTCAGTAAACACTGGCTGAGCCAGCAACTGCTGGGTGCCAGGCACTGTGCTCTGTGCTCTGGAGGGAAGAGATCTCTCAAAGAGGTGAAGTCTGAGCGAGTCAGATGGGCCGGGGCTAGAATTCCCG